CGTAACGGCGAACGCGGCGGGCGGTTTCGCGTCTCAGCGCGGGGGGGGGCGGTGTAAGCCCTGCGTCAGTATACGAGTGCAGAGCTCCACTACTCATGTTATTGTACGCGCGAGCACCAAACGGCCCGAAAGGGCGCGAACGTTCGCGCGGGGTCAGTTTCAAGAACGTCGCAGCGTCCGACGCGCGACTCATGCTCTCTCGCGCGCATGCCCCGGAGCGCGCGGCGCCGCAGACCCGCGAAGGTGTCCGCGGCGGCGGCGGCGGCGATCGGGAGCGCTTCGTTCGCCCCGACAGACGCTCGGCCGCGAGCGCGAGAGAGATGTCGAGCAAGACGTGGCCGCCGGCGAGCACTCATTCCCCGACCCTCCCGAGCGCGTGGGAGCGCTGCGAGCGCTGCACGGGGGCCTGGAGCGCGTGCGGCGGCGGCCGACGCGTTCCCCCGCCCGAATGTCGGTCGGCCGCGCGCGGGGAAGCTGCACGCGCACGACGTCGCCGCCGGCGCGCACCCCTTCCCCGACCCCGTTGAGCGTTTGGGCGCGCTGCGAGCGCTGCGCGGGGGGCTGGGATGCGCGCGGCGGCGGCCGGACGGGTTCCCCCCCAAATGTCGGTCGGCCGCGCGCGGGGGAGGTGGGCGCGCGCGACGTCTCAGCCGGCGTGCACTCCTTCCCCGAGCCCCCCGAGCGTTTGCAAGCGCTGCGAGCGCGTCACCGAGCCATGGGACGCGCGCGGCGGCCGCCGGACGCGTTCCCCCCGACATTCGGTCGGCCACAAGCGGGGTAGGTGGGCGCGCGCGACGTCTCCGCCGGCGCACACCCCTTCCCCGACTCCCCCGAGCGTGTACATACGCTGCGATCGCTCCGCGGGGCCCGCAGACCTCCCCTCGGGCCCGAATGAGCGCTTTCGACGCGAAACCGCCCGGCCGCGTTCGCCGTTACGACGTCGTTCCGGGACCCCCCTATTTTCCCCACGATCCTCTCCGTAGGGGCTCTCCGGCAAGCCCGGGCTCGCCGCGTGAGAGGCTCTAGATTTTGCGCACTGATGTGGGACACAAATCGAGCGGAGCGCATCGTATGGCTGTCTCGCAACCTTCGGACAAAAGCTACGCCCTTCGGCCAGAAGATCTGGCCTGGCGCCTCCGGCGCGGGCTTCGCAAAAAGTAACCCGTTTTTAAGTCGTTGGCGCCGATTGTAAGTCGTAGGGTAAGTCGTCGGGCCCCGGGGTAAGTCGTTGGGCTCGCCAAAACGGAACGCCGCGCGCGCGCCGCCCGCGCCGCGTCTGAATCGATGCCACGTCGGTCGTTNTGAGTCGTCTCTTCTCGTTCTTTCGACGGATCGGAGCCCCCCCGGGACGGGGGCGACTCGCCGCACAAAAAGACGCAGGAACCCCGACCGTCTACGGACCGGCGGGGCCCGTACTCGCGAACGGGCGGTATCTCCGGGCTCCGAACCGATGCCACGTCGGTCGTTTTGAGTCGTCTCTTCTCGTCCTCTCGGCGGATCGAAGCCCCCCCGGGGCGTGGGCGACTAGCCGCACCAAATAACACAGGAATCTCGACCACCTACGGGTCGGCGGGGCCCCGAATCGAGTACGAGGCGGATCTCGAGGCACGGAACCGGCCCTACGGCGGCAGTTTTGAGTCGAGAGGCTTCGACCGGCGGCTCTAGGAGGCTGGTTCCGTCGACGGGGCTGTCCGTGATGCCATCTAGCCATAGGTTTTTGGCACCAGAAGTGCCCGGAAAGCCGTATTCTTTGTTTCGAGGCCCGTCGAGCGGCCGTAAAATAGGCATATTTTCGGCGAATCGGGTCGGCTAAAGTGGAAGTGCCGGCCTCGAGAGTCGCAACTAATATGTTCCTTGGGATCGAGACCGGTAGATTCACCATCGAGGGGTCTCTTCGGAGCAGTTTCGGGCATTTACACACCCAAACTGGGCCAAAATAGGGCCAAAATACGAAAATGTCGACTTAAAT